CATGTTGAAAACCCAGATAGGTCTGTTGTGTCAAACAGTCAAGTTGTGAAGGCCAAGAAAACACTCCTGAAGGAAATTAGAAGTACTGTTCCAGGGCCGAGTGTTGTGGCTCATGCCTATAATCCCAGCACTTTGGGAGGCCAAGGCAGGCGGATCACAAGATCAAGAGTTTGAGACCAGCCTGGCCAACATGGTGAAACCCTGTCTCTACTAAGAGTACAAAAATTAGTGGGGCATGGTGGCATATGCCTGTTATCCCCACTACTTGGGAGGCTGAGGCAGGTGAATCACTTGAACCTGGGAGGCGGAGGTTGCAGTGAGTCAAGATTGCACCACTGGACTCCAGCCCAGGCGACAGAGGAAGACTGCCTCAGAGCAGGGGACAGGGGAAACAGGCCAGGCACAATGGCTCACGCCTGTAATCCCAGCACTTTCAGGGGCTAAGGCGGGCAGGTCACAAAGTCAGGAAATTGAGAACGTCCTGGATAAACATGGTGAAACCCCGTCTCTATTAAAACTTCAAAAAATTAGCCAGGCGTGGTGGCATGCACCTTTAGTCCCAGCTACTCGGGAGGCTCAAGCAGGATAACTGCTTGGACTGGAAGGCGGAGGTTGCCGTCAGCCGAGTTTGCACCACTGCACTCCAGCCTGGGCAACAGAGTGAGACTCCGTCTCAAAAAACAAACAAAAACAAAACAAAACACTGCTATCTATCCACTTCAAATATAATGTATGAGTTCATTACAAACACACATTTTATGGCAAGTCTACCTTCTAATTTGCTAATAATGTTCACCTGTTATCGATAAAAAATCAAATGTATCACCTGCCTAATAAACATATGGTTGTTGCCAGCTACAGTGGCCCATACATGTAATCCCAGAATTTTAGGGGCTGAGGTGGGTGGATTGCTTGAGGCTACGATTTCGAGACCAGCCTGGCCAACATGGCAAAGCCCTGTCTCTACTAAAAACAGAAAAAGTAGGTAGGCATGGTGGTGCAGCTACTCAGGAGGCTGGGACATAAGAATTGCTTGAATCTGGGAGGCAGAGGCTGCAGTGACCTGAGATCGTACCACTCTTCGTACTATTTTGAAGACCCCGTTTCAAAAATAAATAAATACGTGGTTGATTAATATTTTTCTTGGATGTAGGAACAAGATAAATTAGGGCTCTGGGAAAACACAACCTACATTAGACTTAATCATAATGTGCTTACAGGATTTTCTGACACCATGCAAGGAAATAGTACTTAAAAGTAAATAACTTAAGATCAAAACATGCAAACAAATACAAAAACTTACCATCCCTGTTCATTTTTATACTTGTATGCAGCCCCAAGAATATGACACAAGGTGCCTCCAGCTTTGAAATCCATGAAACATTTTGCCTAAAAATGATATAAATTACATATGAGAAAAATTAAGCTTCTCACAAAATTATTCGTATGAATTCTAAGTTTTATGAATTCAAGGATATAAATACTAATTAAACAACCTCCTTAAATATCTTCTTGAATGAACTGAGGCATCAATACATTTTTCTAAAAGTAAATTAGGCTGCAAATGGTGGCTCATGTCTGTAATCCCAACACTCTGGGATGGTAAGGCAGGAGGGTCACTTGAGCCCAAGAGTTCAAGACCAGTCTGGGCAACATAGGGAGATTTAAAATTTAAAAATTGGCTGTGCATGGGGCACACGCCTGTAATCCAACTCAGGGGGCTGAGGTGGGAGGATCAGTTGAGCCTGAGAAGTTGAGTCTGCAGTAGGCCCTGATGGCTCCACCATACTCTAGCCTTGATGACAGAGTGAGATGCTGTCTCAAGAAAAATGAAATGAAATAAAATAAACTGAATTGAAACTACTTCCTTTCAGCTGGTACAGTGGCTCACACCTACAGTTGCAGCTACTTGGGAGGCTGAGATGGAAAAAATCACTGGAGTACAGGAATTCAAGACCAGCCTGAACAATACAGAAAAAAACCCATTCCCCCTCCCCCAAAAAATTCCTTTTAAATTCCATGAACATGTTATTATTGGAGTGAATAGTCTGTCAAAGGCAAGATTTTAAAAAGATAAATCTAGGCCAGGAGCAGTGGCTCACACCAGCAATTCTAATATTTTGAGACACAAAGGTGGGAGAATCACTTGATCCTAAGAGTCTCAGACCAGCTTGGGCAACACAGCGAGATACCACCTCTATAAAAAATTTAAAAATTAGGCCAGGTGCAGTAGCTCACACCTGTAATCCCAGCATTTTGGCAGGCCAAGGCGGGCAGATGGCTTGAACACAGCAGTTCAAGACCAGCCTGGAAAAGATAGAAAAGAAATTAGCCAGACATGAGAGAGTGTGTCTACAGTCCCAGCTACTGGGGAGGCTGAGGGGGAAAGATGGCTTAAGCCTCAGAAGCAAAGCTGAGACCACACCACTGTGCTCCAGCCTGAGAAACAAAGCTAGACTTTGTCTCAAAAATATATAAACATAAAAATTAGCTGGGCATGGTGCTGTGTGCCTGTAGGTAACACCTACTCAAGAGGCTGAGGTGGGACAACTGCATAAGCATAGGAAGTCAAGCTGTATATACATCTACCATAAGCCCCGGCTAAGAAAAAAAAAGGAAGTCAAGCTGTAGCGAGCTATAATGGCGACACCGAAATTGAGCCTGGGTGACAGAGTATAACCCTACCTCAAAAAAAATTTTAATAAAAAGATAAATCAAAATGGCTCAAAAGAAAACACCTGTAACCCCAGTACTTTAGGAAACTGAGCAGGAAGGCAGGGAGAAAGGGAGGCCTGCCTGAAGCCAGGAGTTTGAGGCCAGCCTGGGCAACAAAGTGAAACTCTGTCACACACACACAAAAAAGACCTGGGTGCAGTGGCTCACACATGTAATCCCAAAGTGCTGGGAGGCCAAGGTTGAGAAACCCCATGCTGGTCAGGCTGGTCTTGACCTCCTGACCTCAGGTGATTTGTCTACCTTCTAAAAAAAACACAAAATTACTCAGGTGTGGTGGCACATGCCTGAAATCCCAGTGACTCAGGAGGCTGAGGAAGAAAAATTGATTGAACCCAGGAAGCAGAGGTTGTAGTAAGCCAAGATCGTGCCATTGTCCTCCAGCCTGGGCAACAAGAGCAAAACTCCATCTCAAAAAAAAATAAAAACAAAGAAACAAAAGTATGGTAGACTTTTTCACCTTATAGATTCTTGACTATAAATATACAAAAATCAGGCTGGGTGAGGTGGTTCACGTCTGTAATCCCAACATTTTGGGAGGCTGAAGCAGGCAGATCACTTGAGGTCAGGAGTTCCAGACCAGCCTGGCCAACATAGTGAAACCCCATCCCTACAAAGTGAGGTGTGGTGGCAGGCACCCATAATCCCAGCTACTCAGGAGGCTGAGGCAGGAGAATCGCTTGAACCCGGGAGGCAGAGGTTGCAGTGAGCTGAGATCATGCCACTGCACTTCAGCTTGGGCGACAGAGCGAGACTATCTCAACAAAAAATAAATATAAACAAATTATACAAAAATTATAAATAAATATTTTTATTGTAATTTTTTATTTTTTTTTGAGATAGGGTCACACTCTGTCACTCAGGCTGGAGTGCAGTGACATGATCTCAGCTCTCTGCAACCCCTGCCTCCCAGGTTCAAGCGATTCTCATGTCTCAGCCTCCCAAATAGCTGGGATTACAAGAATGTGCCAATATCCCTAAATTAGCTAAACTTTTGTTATTTATTTATTTATGTATTTATGCATTTTTAAGAGACAAAGTTTTGCCATATTGGCCAAGAGGATAAAGAAATCTTGACCTAAAGTGGCCTGCCTACCTTGGTCTCCTAAAGTGCTGGGGTTATAGGCATGAGCCACCTCACCCAGCCTATTACAATATTTTAATAACCATAAAAACATGGTTTAACTATATAAAACTATATGTAATAGCTAAAATCTATGCCAAAATTCAAGAGATCTGTGCTTTACAGATTACAAAAGTATAGCTCAAATTCAATGAAATGCTGAATAATTTCCATATTATGAAGGTAAAAATATAATCTGAGCATCAAATAGGCTAAATAAGATGAAGGGTTATTAGAAACACCCATGCATTTTTTCTTTAAAGCTATTACTATGGCCAGGCGAGGTGGCTCACGCCTGTAATCCCAGTACTTTGGGAAGCCGAGGCAACTGAATCACAAGGTCGAGAGACTGAGACTATCCTGGCCAACATGGTGAAAACCTGTCTCTACTAAAAAAATACAAAAATTAGCTGTGCATGGTGGCACGCGCCTATAGTACCAGCTACTCAGAAGGCTGAGGCAGAAGAACTACTTGAACCCAGGAGGCGGAGGCTGGAGTGAGCCGAGATCTCGCCACTGCAGTCCAGCCTGACACCTGGTGACAGAGCAAGATTCTGTCTCAAAAATAAATAAATAAATAAACTATTCCTACAAAATAATATACTGAAAAGAACCACATGATATTAAACATTAAAAAGATAGACAAAAGGCCAGGTGCAGCAGCTCACACCTGTAATCCTAACATTTTAGGAGGCCGAGGTTGTCAGATCCCTTGAGCTCAGGACTTTGAAACCGTCTGGGCAACATGGAAAAACACTGTCTCTACTAAAAACACAAAAAAACTAGCTGGGTATGGTGGCAGGTGCCTATAATCCCAGCTACTCTGGAGGCTGAGGCTGCTGCTCTCCAGCATGGGCAACAGAGTGAGACTCCGTCTCAAAAAAAACAAAAAAGAGAGAGAGAGTGGGGCACGCTAGGCACGGTGGCTCACACCTGTAATCCCAGCACTTTGAGAGGCCAAGGCAGGTGGATCACCTAAGGTCAGGAGCTCGAGACCAGCCTGGGCAACATGGTGAAACCCTGTCTCTACTAAAAATACAAAAATTAGCTGGGCGGGATGGTGTATGCCTGTAATCCCAGCTACTCAAGAGGCTGAGGCAGGAGAATCACTTGAGCCTGGGAGGTGAAGGTTGCACTGAGCCAAAATCACTCCACTGCACTGCAGCCTGGTCAGCAGAACAAGACAGTCTCAAATAAAAAACAGAGAGACAAAAAGCAGAATGGTGGTTGCCAAGGAAAGAGGGACGAGAAATGGTAGTTACTGATTAATAGATACAGAAGCGACCATAGTTTCCCAATCCCATAATCCTAAAACTTCAGGAAGCTCAGGCAGATCACTTGAGCCCAGGAGTTGAAGACCAACCTGGACAACATCGTGAGACCCCATCTCTGTTTTTAAAAAAAAAAAAAAAAAGTTGCCGGGCGCGGTGGCTCAAGCCTGTAATCCCAGCACTTTGGGAGGCCGAGGCGGGTGGATCACGAGGTCAAGAGATCGAGACCATCCTGGTCAACATGGTGAAATCCCGTCTCTACTAAAAATACAAAACATTAGCTGGGCATAGTGGTGCGTGCCTGTAATCCCAGCTACTCAGGAGGCTGAGGCAGGAGAATTGCCTGAACCCAGGAGGCGGAGGTTGCGGTGAGCCGAGATCGCGCCATTGCACTCCAGCCTGGGTAACGTGAGTGAAACTCCGTCTCAAAAAAAAAAAAAAAAGTAATAAGAAGTTAAACGTATCCTGTAATCCTAGTACTTTTAGAGGCCAAGGTCTATGGATCACTTGAAGTCAGAAGTTCGGGACGAGCCTGGCCAACATGGTAAAATCCCATCTCTACCAAAATATAAAAAAATTAGCCAGGCATGGTGGCACACACCTGTAGTCCCAGCTACTTGAGAGGTTGAGGTGGGAATCACTTGAACCTGTGATGCAGAGGTTGAAGTGAGCCAAGATCATGCCACCATACTCCAGCCTGGGTGACAGAGTAAGACCCTATCTCAAAAAACAATTAAAATCATTAAAGTGGCATACCTTGTTATAGATATTCTAACATAATTAAATATAAATGAATAAAATTTTAAAAAATAAATAGGCCAAGCACAGTGGCTCACGCCTATAAAACCAACACTTTGGGAGACCAACGAGGGATCACTTGAGACCAGTAGTTCAAGGCCATCCTGGGCAGCACTACACACACACACACACACACACACACACACACACACACACACACACACACACGAGGGAGGGAGGGAGGGGGACAGGGAGGGAGGGGGGAGAGGGAGAGAGAGAGAGAGAAAGGGGGGGGGAGAGGGAGGGAGATCCACGCTACTGAGAAATATATACTGAGCAGGCCGTAACAATAAAACATCTATACAAATAATTTAAGGTCAATTTCTCAAGAGATATTAAATCTGAAAAATGAAATCATTACCAAATACATATTTCAGACAAAGTAACTTTTTTGCTGTTGTTGTTTTTTTGAGACAGAGTCTTGCTCATCACCCAGGCTGGAGTGCAGTGGCGCAATCTTGGCT